TTGAATCTGTCTTTTTGCTAGTTTGTAAATAGTTTTAGGGGTTAAAGCCACACCCTGACTATAAAAAGCCCGCAAGGTAGCGGTGTTTCAGTGACAATGTAAACACAATCGAGTGTCGGGGGGTTCAAAACCGTACGTTGACGAGATGATCATTGACCGTCAAACTTCGTATCAACTTGAATGACAAATGACAAATGGCTCCATATATAGATATAAGTCAATAAATATTCTGTAGTTTTATCATAAAAAATCGAATCGGTCGTGTTTGGCGTCATCATTCACAGTGGGCGGAGCTTATTGGTTGTTGCGCTATAAATAGCAAAGCACATGGTCAGGTGTTGAAGTGACACATTCGATGCATTTGTGGTCAAAGTGTGTTATGGTGTAAATATTTACGACAGAACCCCAGAACAATAGCAGTTTCGGTTCATGTAACAGTAACGATACATAAATACGAAAATGATGTTTCAGTTCAGTCCGAAAATTACACATATTTGTTTAGTTTTGGTCACTAACATTCAACAGTTTGACCTATACCACACAATAATCAGATTATATTTATAAAACTTAAATTATTACACAGATTTTTCAAGTAGTGTTTAGGAAGATGCCAAGACACCAGAAGTTGCGCCAATATTTCTTAGCTTGGCTACACTATATGAATATGTCACGTGTATCAACATAACAATGCACATAAGCGACTGATAAATAATAAACGAAATAAACCAGATGTTTTGACCGACATTAGACCTATCTAGATAATATTGTACTTACGATAAACTAAAACTCCAATACACATATTCCAAGACAAATTTAATTATGGATTTCCTTTCCTTTCATATAATTTTCACATCATTGATCATTAGATCCACGTGTGTCACGTCTATTTTTGCTCGGTGGATTTGAGTACGCTTCGCACACAAGTTTTAAAACACAATCTGACATCACTTCCCTTTGTCCACACCAATCCTTCATCTGCTGCTACGTTTAATATCCGTTTCTTCAAGTCAGAGTATCGAGGATCCCTCCAAATTGTATTTGATTTAACTACTGGTAAAGTTAGGTCGGCAATGAGTCGTTTCCGTTGCAGCTCAAATTCTTTACATGTGGAAGCGACCCGTGAAGATCCTTGGTTGATGCATGTCATCGATCCCAATTGCGTGGATCGATGCTCGTGGTATTGATCACTGGATTGTCTGGTCCAGACTCGATTTTGTAAAGACCACCGTCATATAGCTGGACCATTGCTGAGTGCGGCGTTAAACAACAAACCAACAAACCCACAAACACATAACGTCAATGATCAACGCCACTCTTGACGCCTACTGGCGTTAATTCCAGTCCAGGATTGCCTTAAGAACCTTGTTGCAAACTGCCACTCAGATTTGGTACCAGATGCAAGATGCAACTTGTGTAAGAGTATATGTAAAGGCGTCTGCACAGACGACATTTGCTTGCACGACGTCAACGTGTCATCCCATAACTTACCGCAGGGTCACTTGGGTCAGAGTCATCAGTGGTGAAGGGGAATATAAGCACTAAGATAATCAACGTTGGGCTAATGCCATGTTTTCTGACGAATCAAGGTTCACACACGACTGCCGTGACTGATGGAAACGAGTAAGAATACATCCTATTGGGTGATGTATGAACGTTAACGTCCTGATCTTTTTTTGGGTTGATCCATAATGTTATTGGGCGGTCTCACAATGACTGGCCGAACTGCGCTCCAAAACGTCTATGGCAGAGTAACAGGTCAATTCTATCGGGACAACAATCACACTCCATGAACACGGTGTTGCACCCATTAGTGAGTGGAACAGGAACAGCAAAAAAAGAAACACAACAGTGATTATTGATGTATATCTTAAATAGCATATAAAAAAGTAAATGGTAATCGAGTATTCAAAATTGGCACACATCATTGTCATTGACCCAGGTTCCTTTTCAAGAAGGTGTTCTGTTCTCAATATATTGTATTGTCACCATTAGAGTGCAAAACTGACTGGCATCATCGTCCCATGAATGCAATCAGATTTCAAATTGTTGTCTGGGGATTGTTCAACCGCTCTGCCTGCAGTGCTTGTGCCAGGTGTCAGAGGTTCCGTGGTTGTTGGTGACGTGTTCACAGTCGTTGATCGAGTGCATCCCACAAATGTCCGATTGCGTTTAAATCTGGAGACCTGGAGGATCATGGCAAAACCGGGATGTTGTGATTCCTGAAAAGGCTGTTGTCAGTCTTACCATGTGAGGACGGGCGTAGTCTTGTTGGAAAATGACGTTCGCTTGTTGCGAAATGGGAAGGACGTGTGGCCGAATAATCCCAACCATATAACGTTGTGCCTTTAAGTTCTCCAGCACTTGCACCAAGTCTGTTCTACCAATGTAAGAGTTGGCTGCTCACATCATCACACTTTCACCACCAAATCTGTCGACTTCCTGTATGCAGGTTGGTGCATAAAGTTCCCCGCGACGCCTGTTGATACGACGTCTTCCGGCCGGCCACACGGCGAAGCAAAATACGTGACTACTCACTAACCCAAACTTGACACCACTGACGCCGCAGCACAAACTGTCATCTGGCGTGAATACCTTGAGCGCGTTAACGGTTCCTCACTGTCTGAGCTGATATCCTACGCAATGATGGTTCTTTCACGTGCAAACGAAAAGCCAACGTTTTCATGGCCCAACAAGTGATGTTGCACGTGCATGACATGTTGGTTTGTTTCGTGGCAGGCTCTCACGTTTTCCAACCTTTTCACCACATGTATGCAGGACCTCATTCTTTCCACACAAGTCAATCCCAATTCATGTTTTGGTATTAATTTTGTATGGATGTCGGCATGAATTTGTCAGATATTTATTATTCTATATTTTACAACTTTAATTTATTGATCAACATCATGGTCTTCGATCTACACAATTGGGATACGCTCATCAATTTGTAACTTGTTTACGGCAAGAATAGATTGTTTGGACCAATACTGGGACTGGGTCCCAATGTAGTCAATCCGGTAAGAGGTTGAAAGACAATATTTTCCTTTTTGAGTACCAGGGCGGTCGGGTAGCTTAGTGGTTAAAGCGTTCGCTCGTCACACCGAAGACCGGGTTCGATTCCCGGCATGGGTTAATTGTGTGAAGTCCATTTTTCGTGTCCCTGCCGTGATATTGCTGGAATCTTGCTCAAAGCGGCGTAAAACCATACTCACTCACTCAATTTTGAGTACCAAATTAACTTGTCAGTCTGAAGATGATTACACAGTGCGTGCATGTAGACCGTTTTTATAGCATGTGTCTGGCGAAGGTTTGGGTTCGATTCCAACATAGGTGAAGCTTATTTCTGGTATCCCACACCATGATGATGCTGGAATGTTGCTAAACCCTGTGTTACCCTTTATTCACTCACTACAATCTAATGACATGTTGATATTTACGCAACTTCAATGGCACACCCCTTGTGTATATTGGATATGATTGACGAATAAAATATGAACGACATTATTTTGACTTTGAATAGTTATATGTCCACTTTACATATTCAACATATAGTTTGTTTTCAACATTAAGTATGAGCAGGGCCTATATTTATTTAATTGTCGTAACTGAAACATAGCTAGTTTCTTAAGTTAAGAACAATTTAGATACATGAAATGGACTGAAATGTCCCAAAGACAATATTTTAGATTGGAGTTGAATAGGTACAGGCCACCTCTGAAACATTTTTCAACTCTCTGTATATTGTTAAAAAAACATACTGAATACTGAAATGTATTGGAAAGATAAGTAGAGCTTTACTTCAAAGGAAAGTACGCCACAACCACGTCAACCGATTCTTAAATGAAAACAAACGCACATTCAATAGCTCACCCTGTATAGTCCTACAAGTAACAACCTCAGTTCATACAACATATTTCTGTCATAGACGTTGTGGTGTGGAACTGACAATCTACATTCACAATTAATTAATTAATTAATTTAAACAACAGGGATTATGTTTAAGGTGCTGATTATCTTGCACGATTTTGACTAATGGCGGCCTTTGAGAAGGGACAATTCTTCTGGTAATCCACGCATAGATGCTAGTGGTCTTGTTGTCTGGTGGGGGCACGGGTGTCCCAGTCGCCTTAGGCGCCGCGATTCGCTGTGTAGAGTTGCGTCCCTTGGGCACCTTTGATTGCTGGCTCGAATCCTCGTTCGCCCCGATTATGTTTCTAGGTTTGTGAGCACCATACCCGTGCTCGTGGGTTTCACCGAAGTGGTAAACGTCTGAGACCTGCATCACTTCGGGCTCTCCTCCCACATAAAGCTGACACGCCGTGATATAACTGGGATACTGTTAAAAGCGGCGTTAAATCTAAATCACTGACTCACTTATGTCTGGTAGTTTCGGAAAGGGAAGAATGATGACGAATGATACAACCGTGGATGGTGTTCGCAAGCATGTATGGTGTGCACTGAGTGACCTATTTCGTTCCAAAATGGGGGCGGGTGGTTATTGGTGCGGGGTGAAGGAAACAAATTCAGAATATTGCGTCACAGGTTTTGAAGGAAAAATGTAAGGATGTCTGCTCGTATGATTTTGTTTTGAAACCGCAACTAGAACTGTCATGCTTTTGGATTTTTTTAACGCAAAGGGATTCTGCTAAGAATCATGAACCCAAAGTACGGTGTTACATATAAAACAAAAAATAACTAATTTCTATTTTACGACATGTCGGGGATTTATCATACCAAAGTCAATGAAGGTAGTGTCTCCCAACTTTCTTAAAAGAAGACGTCACTTCATTGTGACATCAATTGAATACCGTTGATGTCTAATACGTCAATGCGCACTGTTTGTCCAGTTGCTATAAATGTAGGGCACAAACCAGACATTTATGATGTTTCACGATTTAATCAATGTGTGGTACATTTTACTGGACTGAAACATAATAAAAACAATGTTCCAAGTATTGGAAATCCGTTATCAAAGAAGTAACATCATCCAGCTCAACTGGGAAAATAAGAATTCCATCTTCATCTGAGAATCGAGGCCATTTCTCTCTTTTAATACACAATCTAAAGTATTATCGTATGTGAGTAACGGACAGTATATCATATATACGGGGTTATTTTCATCTGAGTCCTCTTCAGTGGGCCCAATGACAACCAAGAAAGGTTGCCCCCTGCAGTGCTGTACAGGCCATTCAAGTTAACCTCGTAGCATGCTCCGTACCACCATCCGCCTCCGCTCAAATCCGCGCAGTGTGTGGAGCTAGCATCAAGGTCAAGGTCACGGGCTGAGAAGGGACGACCCTGATGATATTCCAATCCATTCCCTTCACACAAGCAAGAAAATAAATTCATTAGACAAAGGGAAACTGGAATATTTCTTACCACATGGACAGCATAATGTGTTCAGTTATCCACCTGAACATCACTGCCTTAAGATTTTTAATTAGGTTAATATAATATCAAGGGTGCATTTATGACAGGTTTTTTAACTTAACCAAAAACACAATAATCAGTCAGTGATCAGGTCAAACCGACCTTTCCATCACATCATATGCACAGCAAAAAAAATGCAGTTTCCGGTATATATATTTTTAGGTGTTTCACACTGAATTGAACAAAATGCACCCCCCAAATTGTGACATGTTTTTGGAAACTCAGAATGAGGTATCCGGTGCCGGATCCTTGGACACCCAGATTGAGGTATCCGGTGAGGTATCCGGTGCCGGATACCCGGATTCCAGGTGGCATACTTTCCGGTGAGGTGTCCATGCCGGATACCACGGATCTGGTATCCGGCAAGGTATCTGCCACCGGATACCCGGACGCGTTTTGGGTAAGTGTCCGGAGGTATCCGGCAGGTAACCGGATACCGGAAACTGCATTTTTTTTGCTGTGATGGTTATCGCTTGACAATGAGATTCGCAAATTGAGCATGTAATGTAAAATCGTTCCTACATGAACGTAGCTGTGGATATGTTTGCAATAATCAACGTGTACCCGACAATCCATATTCGTTTTTGGTTGGGTACGCACTGATCGATTTTGCCTTCAGGGGTCCAAGTAGTTTTACTGAGTAAAATTTACGCCACAGTGTCATGGTAGTGCCAAAATGTTATTTTATTATACTGACTCTCAAAAAGACACTCCATAAGTCCTATGTAGTCTGGGATTCAAAGAGAGGTTGCTTTAAATACCACAGGACACGCAAATGATATTTCGCAACGTTTATCAAGTGAATGGGTTTGATTTTACATCTCTTTGAGCAGTATTGCAGTTATAGTAAGGCGTAAGTGGTGGAGGTATATAAGCATAATATAATAATTCTCAAGTACTTATGTTACAAAGCGATTTCAACAGGGGCGTAGATCAAATGATTGGCATTTGAAAATGGTTGCAGTGATCAGCAAATTCATTGTCTTGATTTAGTAACGCTGGTGGACCAATCAGAATGCAGCATTCCCAAATGTCATGGTAGAATTATGTTTCAGCATTTTACATGTGACTGCAGTTGTATACACTTTTGAAACAGCATATAAAACTCGGGCCTTTGTTCACATTGTTCCAGGACACTCCGGAAAATGAATTTCCTTGAAAAGCAGAGATTTACAAAAATAATTGATCAAACTTCGCACCCTCAAAACAAAATAATAAAGCTTTACTATTATATTTTACTTACCTGCATTACCGTTGTACCACCCAAACTGTAAAGCGTAGTTCACAGACGAGTTCCCAACAGAGAACCTATGGTAATATGCCTTACTTTTAGTGTTTTCGAAGTCCATTATTTGTATGAGTAATTGAAACAGAGCTTCTCTTGTCATTCGCCAGATCTTCTCATTTCCTGAAAAATAGAATAACATTACCTTGCATACCTTCAATATATGTTATCCTTTATCACCGAGCAGTTGAATTGATAAGTATTCAGGTGACATCATGACGAGTCATCTCAATGAATGATTCAGGTTCAGACGTTTACCACTTCGGTGAAACCCACGAGCACGGGTATGGTGCTGACAAACCTAGAAACATAATCGGGGCGAACCGGGATTCGAACCCACAATCATAGGTTTCTGGCGTGGCCAAGGGACGCAACTCCGCACAGCGAATTGCGGCGCCTTAGACGACTGGGCCACATCTCAATGAGGGAGTGGGTGAGTCGAACATGCTGCTCTAAGCAGTATTCTGGTCCTATCGTGTCTTGTCAGCATAATGCGTAGGCAGTTGTGATGCAGGTTGCATTTATTTTCCAAAGTGAGCAGAACAACATAGAAGCCAGCATCTAGAGACTAGATCACTTCACGTCAGCACCGTCAAGCGACAGACTGCTACATTTAACTAAATCAATTACAATGTGCAGAACCAAGTGAAATTTTATTTAATATGAGACTGTCTCATCGGAGATATTACCAATAGCTATGAGGTATGTATGCATGTGCAAACTTACTTCCTATATGTCCTTTAGTTAAACAGCAAATTCTTTTTTTCTTCTGTTTGATGTCTCTATAACTCTTTGTCCAAACATATTTTTTGATAAGTATATATTTATGCCTTGCCGTTTCTTACCTAACCAGAACTCCTTGTCAAGGTCGCCGAATCCTTCTTTGTACTCGTTCCAGGTACGGTCGAATCCTTCTGACCCATCATACCGATTTTGAATCACCTGTATACAAATGAAAATACCGTGACCGTAGAAATGTATCATTTCGTTTCCAGTAAATATCATTCGCTGAAGAATTGTATTCTTCATTACACGATCGCCTTCATTTCATCTTCCACCCATGACGCACGAATAGGATTTGGTTTGTTGGTTGGTTTGTTGTTTAACGCTGCACTCAGCAATATTCCAGCTATATGACGGCGGTCTGTAAATAATCCAGCCGGGACCAGACAATCCAGTGATTAATATCATGAACATCGATCCACGCAATTGGGATCAATGACATGCATCAACCAAGTCAGCGAGCCTGACCACCCGATCCCGTTAGTCGCCTCTTACGACAAGCATAGTCGCCTTTTACAGCAAGCATGGGTTGCTGAAAACCTATTCTACCCCGGATCCTCACGGGTCCGCACGAATAGGAACACTGACTTTGTGCTCGAGTTAGTGCATATCATGCATATGTCCACGGCGTACTGTAATCGAGTCAGGACAAGGTGAACAAGGAACTAAAACCACTGGCAAGATAATGGCCAACTCAGTGTCAGATGTTCAAATGAGGTCTTCACTCACGGATGCCAACGACTAATTTAACGTTTTATTCGACAAGAGATAAAATTATACTCACAAATGAGTTAGTAATTTGTTAATATCGCCTCAGCAATATTGAAGCCATACAGCAAAGATACAATAACGGTTAATAAATTTAGAATATATAAAATCTGTCAACAACGGACAGTAAAACAACTAGATTATCACAGTGTTGTACTTGTTACAAAAGAAATTTATGCAAATGATAAACATATATAACTATACATAAACACTCAATACAAAAAAGGTTACAGATCACCGACAGTGATAGACATACAGATACTTTCTATGACGTGGGCTTACAAAACCCTCTCAGGGTGACAATACTTTCACACTACGTACTTCAAACCCGATGAAGGGCACATCCACTCAAAATCTCAGTTGATAATCAAATACTACCGTTAAATAAAATACAAACTTGTCAGTGAAGTATTTTTCTTTTAACGAAACAAAACTTAAATGAGAACTTATACTAAAACATTTATTCCTTGTGATGGAAAAACAATCGCCTCAAGCAGGACATGCCACTACGGTTATAACGAACTCAAAGAGACCACTAAGTTTAGTTCGTCATGAACGTAGTTCGTTATAAGCATTTCAAATGTCAGGCATCTTGGTTCAAGTCTCATCGTGTTACTCACTCAAGTCGTCGCATCTTGTAGACAGAATACATCCACTTCAAAGGATATAGCCGAATCACTATTTTACTATTGTTTATTAAGTGGTAAATTGAAGAAAAGGTGTCAGTACTTAATCCAGTTAATCCGGAACAGCCGCGAGTGGCCGTGGAAGGTTTGATAGCTTGATTGGTGACACTGGCGAGTGACCAGCTCAGACTAACAGTTATTCATAAACATAAACAATGTCGTAGATAGAGTACACAAAGGACCACAAAGTGAGCTCGCTATATCTGTTATTTCGTTACAAACGTGTTCGTTACATCCGTCAATTTCATATGATCAAATATACAGCAAACGGCCGAGACCCCAACAAAAGTTTGTTTATGACAGGTAACTAAAAAATTAGCTTCATCTTCAACACTGCGGAGGCTACTGAATTTAGCATTTCGAGTCTTGTGTTGGGATAAATATACAATCAGGGAACATTGGATCCGAAGTCAGACGCCTTTTAAATACAAAAGGGAACCAAATCAGACATGGAAAGGATGTGCCCGTGGGGATCCTTGGTTAAAACTCGCAAGCCACCTATTAGCAGATAACTTCTTTGATAGGCATTAAGAAGTCGGAGTACTAACTAGGGATAAGAATTTATGGATAAACAACTTCTTATAAAAAAAGTTCTCCATACATTCTTATCCTTACTTAGTACTCCAACTTCTAAATGCCTATCCAAGATCCTTTGTTTATGTCACTGACTTCACCGATGATTGTCGTCACTACCCTTGTGTATACTCTACTCCAGTATAACAATATCTACTCTACTGTATAAACATTGCTTCCTACCTGTATACATACTTGCCAACCACTCTCTGTATATTACTACTTGTTAACGGTGTTAGAGCCCACACCGAAACGTCGCTCTTAATTGTAATAAAGAAGTTGTTCATCCATAAATTCGTATCCTTACTTATTAGGTAACTTGGTTGATTGCATGTACCTGTACCCACGAGGGTGTACCGTCGATATTATATGTGTGTTCTTTGTGCGTTTTCGTTTACTAACATCGAGGTGTTACAGAAATGTAGACCAATCGTTTCTGAAATCTGACGTTTGAAGGGCCACGTATCTTTCACTTAGAGTGGGCGGTCATCTGACGATTTGAGTGGGTGGTCACTCATTTCATCCGACGCGACCTTCTACGGAGGTATGGAGATCTTCACGCACAAACGTGACCAAGCTGAATGGCGACTCGTGCCCACTATAGAGGGATTTTATTTTGGCGTATGAACATCAGAACTACTTAAAGAAGAACGACAAGTATTTCAGTCCAAACGTAATACACTTCACACTGACACTCACACTTTGCTCTTTTAAATATAATTAAACCATTTTTGATGCAACAAAACAATATTAAAATCTTTTGTTGAAAAAAGTCTAATTTGATTATTCTCAGTTATTTATTTTTAATTTCGATATGTATGCTTCCAAATATGATAGAAATAAGTTACAAAAGACATTATAGTGAAAAGGTATGTGTTCTTAATTTAATGTATTTCGTGTAAATTCCTCAACGCAGTCGTGATCATTATTTTGTTTGAAATTCAGCTCTAAACAGCTAAAAAACACAGTTCACAGGGTGCCAAAACACGATCATTTATAGATTATCCATTGTATTTAATAGTATCACTTTATTATATTCATTTTCATACACCAATTATGTTAGCAAGTTTTGCTTTATTCTAATGACATAGCTACACGGCATCAGTAGAAAACAGAATATGCACAAGGCAAACTTTAAGATCGTCGATTTCTCACAAAGAATTTTAAAATCTTTAATGGTTATCTTTAATGTCAATAAAGCTTTAATGATGATGATGATCATCATCATCATCATCATCATCATCATCATCATCATCATCATGATGTTGAGCATTTAACGAGCGCTACCGGAGTAGCCGATTTCACACTTGGGATTAATTATGCAACTATTTCATAGTATGGCTTTTGACATAATTCTTGAATAGTCTCACGATATAAAGCACTAAAGCACGTTGCTAAGCACCAGAGTTATCTAAAGAGTTCATATCGAACAAGTTGACAGCACCCCTACCGTCCATGTACGTCCCCCACCGTTGCCAGGAAATTCACAGTACACTTGAAATGGTCCATCAGGAAGGGTGACAGTGTGGACACCGTTATTGTGTGGTCCATAGTTATAGTAGGCCCCGATTTCAGCACAATTCGACAAACCTGGAACAAAATCGAATCGTTTACTATAATGAATATATGCATTTACAGACACTGGTGATGCTGCTTTGTAAAATTTTGTAAACATGAAAACATGTTTGCAATACACCAATTTGTGCGTCCCAATTCAACTTTAAACTCGTAACTTAAATTCTGTGATGTAATTTGTTCCCTTTAAGGGAAAGAAAATAAAGTGCAAATTTGTTGCGAATATCTATTGTCCTTCGTAAATGATGATACAACACGCTCCGTAACTTGAATCAGAAACAAAACTAATCGAAGAGTGGCTTACAGCTCCCGACCCAAAGGTGCAGCGGTGCGTGAAACATTATTTTCATCGGCTGATATGTAGACTTGTGATGCTTTGTAGCTATAGGGATACGTCTAGAAACGGTCAATCCGAAAGTGTCGGCAGTCGTGAGTGTGTGAAATGACCTTTGATGTCGACATTGTGATTAATAAGAATAACGTTTTGTCTGAAACGAGCTTATTTATGACTAACAAATAAACGCTGACTTCCTACATCCCATCGTGGTGTTTAAGCAATACACATCCGTACATACGTACATCGACTCGTAGCATTCATTTATTTCAAAATATACTATAAAAAAATGATACGAAGAATGAGCACTGTGCAAAATATTGTCTTTTTTTATCCATTTCACATTTAACAATTCCATTTACATAACTAACGGACCAACAAGATTCATTCACTTGATTTATCCGCTGAGTTGAGAACTGAAGGTTATCTTCAATGTTGTCATTTATAAGCCATAATACAAGGGTTGGTCAAAAAGTTCTAGGCCTAAAAAACAAAACCAACAATTGTGAAAGTTATTGTAAATTTATTTTTCAAAGAAATATCCCTCCGTTTCAATACACCTGTCTTTTTTATAGTGAAGCTTTCAATTCCAGTAAGGAAGTCTTCGGAGGCCACCCTGAAAAACCCATTCATGGCAGCTTTGATGTCACCATTGTCGTCTTAGTGCTTTACACGAAGTTATTCTTTCAATATAGGAAACAGGTGGAAATCGCTTGGTGCCAGGTCAGGCGAGTATGGAGGGTGAGGAAGCTATTCGAACCCACATTGTTGCACAACAGCTTTTGCAAGTCGGGATGTGTAGGAAGAGGCATTGTCATGAAGTAGCAGAACTCCTGCCGTCTTGGACAGAATTTCTCAGGCGATAAACTAATTCAGCATAGTAATCAGGCACGGATAATCATCTTTTGACTGGGGTGGGGAGAGATTGACGCTTACCTCTTTTATTGTTCGGGTTTTTGGGGGGGGTTTAAATTTTTTTTGCTATTTAATTTTTGGTCTAGCATTTGCGATAAAGTATGTTCTTAAGTATTAACAACTGCATAGCTGCTATGTTGAGTTTACTTGCAATTGCCTTTACACAACAAAGCTTATGTACAATTCCTGTCCGACAGTTTGACATTGTAATTCTGTCTAGTTCCACACTAATTCAGCAACCCAGAAATTTCTACGGGAAAGAGTATTTGTAAGATAGCTAAGAGCAGTATAGTGAGCGTAATTACTCGGGAGGAGAACAACGTGGTTTCAGTGTAAACCAGATACCTATC